TGTTTTAATTGGTGAGCTCCACCAAACACTGTCCACCATGGGGGACCATTATCACATTTGACACATCAGTGTCACAGTGTTCAGCTTCACAGCAACCACGATTTACCTCTGTACAGCAAGTGGACAGACCAGGGCTATGTGACCTAGAAAAATGTTTGACCAAAAACAATTAAAAACAGGCCAGAGGGCTGCAGATTAAAGTCACCCACCTTCAACTTGGGAGTAATCACTTTCTGTCCACTAGGCCCACTGATCTCTCTCTATGCTGTTGTTAATGAAAGACCTGGAAACTTGTATAATTTTCATCCTCATGTAAAATCTTACTACATCCATGTCTGAACTCTTTTTTCCTTCAAATCTTTTTTTCTTTTTTAAAAAATCTATATCTTAGTGTTATCTTCCAGCATCAGCAGCCAACTGGCTGCATAGATAATCCTACAAAAGAATGTTGATCATATTTAAATATGGTATATAAATTTTTCCAGGGAAATGTTCCATCAAATTTAATATGTAATATAGGTATATGACTGTTAAAACATGACGAGAGAACAGCAAAACAGTCTGTACTTTCTGTACTCAAGGATCACCTCTATAGAAAAAATTGTCCTCTTTTGAACAAACTGGACCAGTGTTTGTTTACTTAGAATTTTAAAAAAAGAAAGCAAAAAAACCCAAACACTCTTGTTAAGTTGGTTCTAACTCATAGAAATGCAATGCAGAGTAGACTTGACCCTGAGGGTTTACAATGCTGTAGCAGTGTTTATGGAAGCAAATTGGCACATTTTTCTCCTACAAGATGACTGATGAGTTGCAACCACTGGTGGATTTAGACTGTTTGTTTGGACTGTAGCAAGCTTAACCACTGCATCATAGGTGCTCCTTCCAACAGGCATAAATGAGAAAGAAATGAAAGAAAGAGGAAAAACAAAACAACCCTCCTATAAACAAAAATAAAGGCAATGATAGGCAATCTGAACTCACCCAGCTTTGGTAATGGATATTTGATATCAAAGTAGTTTTCATAAAAGTCAAGCAGCTTCAACGATACATCCAAAGCATAATGTGTTTGACTCCATTTGTCTGGGGATGCATAAATAGACACCTGTGAAATGTGAATCAGAAGGAGATTTTGAATGGAAGCTCCTTGGAAGAGTTTCATTCTTGACAACTCTCACTCAAAGACAGACAGACTTCATCTTTCAAAAAAAGTATTAATATACCTGTTACCCTGTAGTCAATAAGAAATAAGAGGTTCTGTAATCTTGATAATTGTCAATGGTTCTGTAAATGTTTTTATAATAAATGGGATTATGGATAACTTTTGTTTAATTCTACTTCTTTGCTTGTCCTTGTTTTGGAAAATAGGCATTATATGTTGTTGCTGTTTGCCTTCGATCAGAACTGAACCATAGCTGACCCTCCAATGGATTTTTAAAGGCAGGGAAATCTCATGGGAGGCAACCTGATAGAAAGGGAGAAAAAACCCAAACAAACTCAAAAAACCAAATGTAAAGTTTGTTGTTGCTGATTGCGACTCCATGAACAAAAGGCCTAATGTCTTTCTATAACTATGTCTTTCTCCAAGTTCATAGAGTTTCCAGAGCCATATGTTTTAGGAAGTGGATGCCACTCCTGCTTTCAAACCTATTTTTCAACTGGGAGCTCCACCAAAAACTGTCTACATTGGGAAACCATCATGACATTTGACACCCCAATGTCACAAGGTTCAGCATCACAGAAAACCCAGTTTACCTCAGTACAGTAAATTGACAAAGAGTGATGTACAAAGTAGAAGAATGTTCCTCCAAAATATAACACTAGTCTCAATTAGCAGTGGTTAAGTGTCATTAAGTCAAATATAACTCATAGTGACCCTATGAACAAAAAACTTGAACTCTGATCTATAATTACCATCATTTCTTTATGATAGAATTTGGTAGTACAGAAAAACTCACTGCCTTTAGGACACTATTTTTTTTATCAAGTATAAAATCAGGTTTCAGTCTTACCTTGACACCTGATGAGGTTGTACCACTCACAGAGTTGAAATCACAAACTATATAGGCTACAAGATAAGTGCTCATTTTAACAGTTGTTTCAAAGTGATCTTCCAAGAGTCCTCCTTCAAGTTCAATTGTCTTAACCTACAGTAAGAGAAAGCAATCAGTATTTGAAAACTGGAGTGTTTAGCAACAATGTCTGTGACTTAAGGCAAATAAATTAGAGGAAAGCATTCCACTCTGACTGACACTTAATGCCCTTTTCAAAACCAACCAACCAAACACCCTTCTTCCCCCTCTTCCAAAAAAACCCACCAATCCACGGCTGTCCAATCAGTTGCATCTCAAAGCAATCCTCTGTTCAGTTTCAGAAGCTGTGAATCTTAAAGAGGAGACTGTGCTTCTTTTCCCCTTAGGTGGATTTGAACCACTGGAGACAGAACCTTTATACATGCATACATAAAGGCCTCTTTATTGACATTTTTTATAGCTTTCTATGTTTTAGCATTTTATCTGCTAAATTCCCTCAGACTAAATCTTCACAGTATCATTGTTTATAGTACCCCAAGGCAATGACAAATCTTATTTTGCTATTTTGGGAGCACAGAATCCTTGTACATGTTTCAATTTAAACATTTGCATAACTAGATTCTGAATTTCTAAGCACAATTGCCAGGAAGGACACCTTTCTTTTTGTATGTTAGAAATAAATCTTTGTGGAAGAAGGAAAGTAGAAATAAAATTGCTAGATGTTTATATTATCTCATTCCTCAGAGTCTGTGGGGTGAAGTAAGTGTTATTTCACAGGTGAGGAAGCAGAAGCTCAGGAATGCTAACTAAATTGCTCAAGATCACATGGGTAGTTCTGAGACAAGATCAAGATGTGGATGTAATCATGTGACTCCAAAGACACTGATCTTTCTTTCATTGCTATGCAACAGTTTGACTTATTGTCTAATTTTATCTTTGCTTCATAGATTCAGCAATGAAAGCAGGCAGACCATAGAGGTCATTAGTAATTTAAGTTTCTCCCCATCTATGAGAGAAGAGTGTTTAAAGCCTACAGACTAGTCAGTTCCACTCACCAAATTCACTAGACAATTATTCAGTTATATCTTCATTTGAGGAGCTCTGGTGGTACAGTGCATTTGTGGTGTTTCAAATCCAACAACAGCGCTATGAGAGAATGATGGACAATCTCATCCTGTGTGATTTATAATCTCTGAAAACTTGGTGGAAAGTCAGCTATGAGTTGGCTCCAATTTGAAGGCAATGAGTGTGTGAATGTGGAGTTTATCTTTCAATGTGACTTCTCCTAGGAAGGACCAATCCTTGGAGAGGGACATCATGCTTGGGAGAGTGGAGGGACAGACAGCACAAGAGAAGAAGATCCTCTGTGAGATGGATTGACTCAGTGTCTGGGGTAATGGTGGTAGGTGAGGCAGAGACAATAAGGTTGGCTCAGGATACAGCAGTGTTTAGAGCAGTGATGAGTTGCAAGCAAATCAACAGCTCATAACAACAACAGTCACTGTTTGACTTTGGTGTGTAGATGGTTAGTAATATGTGAATGGAGCATGTTAGCCTATCCACAAGAGGACTGACTATCTACTATTCCAACAATTTACAAAGGTATTTGCTAGTCTCGCTATTGAATTGAGCAAGCCAGCAATAAGAGGCAGACAGAGCTTCTGGCACCATTAAACAAGAGACAAGAGAATAAAGGATGCCATTCTTGCTCCAGCCACATCTACAGCAGCAACTATGGCCCAACTGGAGACTGGATGTGAGATGGGACTTTGAGGGAAGAGAGCCAATATTGGTAGGACTGAGAACTTTGTTGGTCAGCTGGGGATGGGAAGCCAATATCTGCAGGACATAGGAGCACTGGCCAAAAAGCTGGAGATCAAGGCTGAAGTCCCTGCATGCACATTTTGGGAGCTTTCTTGACTGTATTTTGTTAGTAATCCGGACTATAAAGTTTTGACTTCCCCAATATGGTTCTGTGCAGTCTGTGAGCCATCAAATTGGACTTTGGACTCAGCAAAGGTTAGGTTTGATTGATGCTGAGATGAGTAGAAAGAGATACAGGAGCGTGGGGGACATGCCTGACCCCATGGGAATCGATTTTGTGTTATTGATATTGTGGATGGGGACAGCTCTTTGCAAAGTTATTAAAGGTCAGAGATGGCTATCCTCATGTGGTCTTTGCTCTTTTTACAGTGAGTGTAGTCTTCAGATGATTTTCACCATGGTATAAGATCCCTAAATCCTGAATAGATAAACCAAGTGAAACCCTTTGCTTATGAGTTGATTCTGATCACTTTGAATCAGAATCAATTTGACGGCAAATGGTTTGGTTCCAGTGCTTCATGGACACAGAACCAATAATCTGAAACTACCACTTTTTCCAAATTAGTAACACCTCTTTTCCTTCCTGAAGAATCAAGCTTGTGGCTGTATTTCTCACAGCCTACTGAGCATGTTTTGTTTGTTTGAATAAGATTTATTTTTGCTTTGACAAGATAAAATAGCATGAGGCTTGTCCTTGAACTACTTCACTTATTTCAATGGTGAATGTTTGTGCTATTGAATCATATGGAATTTACTTCTAGAGAATTCTATTTAAATTCAATTCTAACATCTAATAAAGAGGAGGAAAAACAACCAACAAACCACTGATCAAATAGTACCAACTTCTAAGAAAGATGGGAACATATGTGAAGCTGTAATTTTTACATTTAACCAGCAAATCAGATTTTTTTTCTTTTGCAATCAGATTCAACCAGAGTTATCTGGGTACACCCGTCCAAAAGATGAAGATGGGGATAGGGAGGGATTTCACTGTGGTCTGACAAAACTGGATTATAGAATTATTTAGTCAACTGTTCAGAGGGGTGAGTGGGGAGGAGATGAACCTGTGGGACTATGGGGGGAAGTCAGGATCACCAGAAAGGTAGGGATATGAGACAGGAGACAGAAAGGCAATGATTGATTTCCACCCCCAAATGAAGATGTAGCCATGTAGCCATAGAGGCTGAGTTATTTTTTTTTGTCCAGGGATCTGAATTAACATTGCCATAAACGGAAGTGTCTGAGTGTTAGTGTAAGTACAGAGAATGGTGATGTAAGCTTCAAAGAGAAAGCACTTGTAGCTGGACAAGGACTGAATTGCTTTCTCAATGTTTAAAGGATCAGGGTGCATACAAACTGTCACTAGCAGATATATGTTCCCTTACGGAAGAAGACAAAAGACTTGTTACTACTACTGTTTGAGAAACCCTTCAAAAGCACAAGTGGTTAAGAGATAAAGTACTAGTGAAAAGATAGGTCAACTGAATCCATAAATGGGCACCTTTCCAGACAGATCAGGGGCTCTGCTTCTGAAAGCAGCCTTCTGCCTTCTGCTTTCAATAGTCTGTTGAATACAGTTCTATTCTGCATATAGGATATAGAAACATCATGAGTAGGAATCAACTCCACAGCTACTGCTACTAACAATAGCAACTACTACTTGGGTCGCCACCTTACTTTCCTTGGACCTTACTTCTTAGCTAAACAAACTGAGAGGTTAGTATGTGTAGCTTCTTCCCATAAGTCCATAACCTAACTTAGGTGCTGTAGACAATAATGCAGAGAATATGCAGAGGATAATGGAAGCCTCAGTTGTGTATGTCAATGGGAAGTAAAAAATTAGCAAGTATTTGCTGAATTGATCATGACTTAAAGAGTTAGTCAAAACAATTAAGGCAACTAATCAATCAAGAATGTTATGGAATATTTTCAAAGTGGTTACATTTATTCAAATTAAACATTAGAGTTATTTCTGTTTTCTGAATATTTGTTGTTGCTGTTTATTTCAGGTTTCTGAACACAGAATATTCCAATTCTAACATAACAATAATAGTATGTATAATAATGACAATGTATATTTCCAACACATTTAAATTAAAAAGCTTTGTTTAATTCTATTTTCAATTTACTCTTCATGATCATTCATGTGAACATTTTTATTAACATTATAAAACTTTCAAGAAAGGAACTGAAATGATAAATGACCCTTAGTTAACATGATGGAGAGAAACATTTAGAGTTGACGTAGTATAGCCTTTTTACCTGAAAGTGAGAGGGTTAATGAAATTGCTGTCTGCATAAGCATAGAACACATGGAACATCATATTTTCCCTTGACCTGCACTGCCACTATTCAAGAGCAAATGCTTATTCTAACATTAAAAGGGAATCTGGCAAAATGCTTCTTTCTCTCATTCATCTAGAAGTCATTCCTGTGTAGGCAAAAAGGAAAGTATGTATGGGACCACCTGTTGGTTGACCTCACTATTTTCTATGCTTTTCACCTTCTGAAGCATTGTCAAGACAGCCTCTATTTCTTTGCTACTTTCCAAGCAGTGATGGGAAATATTTTACATTTCCCCCCCCAGTAGCACAATTGTCAAACAAATGGTTAGTCAGGAAAGATCAGATGAGGCTCAGGGTCTTCCAGCTCTCTCAATGAGTCTGCACTGTGTCATGTGATACACAGAAAGGGTTCTGAAGTATCTTTCCATTAAAAATTCTAGTTGTAACCATAACAGTTTCCACAAATATAGTGAATAGGATCCAATGAAACAAACAAAGAAGTCGCAGGACTATTACAGACGATGAGATCAGAAACACCTGGGTTGGGGCCCAGCAGGGTCTCCTCTTAAATCTTTGCTACTTCAAATGTGGTACTTGGACCAGTAGCAGCTACACAGCCTGGTATATGGTTAGAAAAACAGAGTTTGGAGCCTCACTCTAAACCTAGGGAATCACACCTGAATTTTAACTGTTTCTCAGGTGAGTCATTTGAACATTAGAGTATGAATAGCACTGCTACAGGGTTATTCCGAATCTTAGATCTGGGCAAATAATATTGATTTAAAAGAACACTATTCCATCATAAACTAAAAGTAGAAATCACTTTGTTAAAATAAATATGTGAAAAGCTTCTTGTGTAACAATGCCCCACAAAGAATAATGTTTAAGTCTAAAAGGATTAGAATAATTGTATTGTATGTGTTATTGTTGTTGTTTCATGCCATCGAGTTGCCTGCAACTCATAGTGACTCTGTGTACATCAGTTCTGAACTCTGGCCAATCCTGAGCCAATCTCATTGTCTCCGACACTTCTGATTCCATTTCCCCAGTTACTGAGTTAATCCAGCTCATCCTGGGCCTTCCTCTCTTGTGCAGACATCCCCCCACCTTTCTAAGAATGACGATCCTCTCCAAATACTGGTTCTTTTTTTTTTTTTTAGCTTGATTTTTTTAATTGATTTTTTGGGGGTAAGTTTGTAAAGAACTTGGATTTCTATTCATTCATAGTTGCACATTTTCCTCCCTCCCCCCAACCCCAAGCTCCCCTTTTTCTTTGAAAAAAAGTTCTGGTTCTTCTTGACCATGTGCTCAAATTATGTAAGACAGAGCCTCAAAATCCTTGTTTCCAGGGAGCAGCCTGGTTTCACTCTCTCCAGGTCAGACCTGTTTGTTCGCCTGGCAGTCCACTTTATGTTCAACACTTCTCCAGCACCACAACTCAAAGCCAACATTCCTTCTTCTATCATCTTTAGTTATTGTCCAGGTCTAAGATGCACAACAAGTAATTGCAAAGGCCATTTCCTGCATCAGGTGCACCTTAGTATCCAGACTGACATCATTGGTCTTTATTATTTTAGTACTAAAATCTTTAGTACTCTAGAGAGGTCCTTGACAGCAGACTTCTCCAATGAAATTCATCTTTTGATTTTCTGACTGCTGGTGCCGGCAAGCTGAAGTTTTCAATAATCTCAATCTCTTCTCGACCCATCATGAAGCTGCCAATTGGTCCAGTGGTGACAAATTTTGTTTTCTTGATGTTCAACTTCAATCCATGTTTAAGGCTGCAGTCTCATGTCCTCTTCAGTTTCAGCAAGCAAGGTTATGCCATCTGCATAGCACAGGTTATTGATGAGTCTTCCTCCAATCCTGATGCCCACATATCTTCTCATAAAGTTTAGCCTCCCAAATGATATGTTCTGCATACAGATTGAAAAGGTATGGAGATAGAGTGCATCCCTGACACACACCTTTCCTGATCCTGATCCATGCAGTGTTCCCCTGTTCTGTTCTGCCTACTGTGTCCTGGTCCAAGTAAAGCTTTCACATAAGCACAATCAAGTGTTCCAAGATCCCCATTTTTCTCAAGGTTAGCCACAATTGTTGTGATCCACAGAGTCAAATGCATTTACATAGTCAATGAAATACAGATAGACATCCCTCTTGAACTCCTTGCTTTCATATAACATTGGCTATGATGTTCCTAATGCTATAGCCTCTTCTAAACTCAGCCTGCACATGTGGCAGTTCTCTGCTGATGTACCGTTCCAGTCATTTCTGGATAATCTTCAGCAGGCTCTTGCTTGTGTGTGATATTAGTGATATTTTCACACTCTATTGGTTCACCTTTTTTTTTAATGGGAATAAATATAGATCTATTCCAGTCAGTTGGCCAGGTAGTTGTCCTATAGATTTCTTGGTATAACCTGGTGAGTGGGTCCAGGGCAGCATCTATTTGCTGAAATATGTCAGTTGGTATTCCATACATTTCTGCAGCTTTTTTTTTTTTTGCAAATTCCTTCAGAGCACCAGTATGTAGATTAGTAAAAACAAATTATTGACTTAAGTTCAGAAAACAAAGGAAATACTAAAAAAAAAAAACAAACCAAAACCCAAATTCTCAACCCAAGAAAGATTCCCCAAATCTTTGAAAGTGACCATACCTTTGGCGTGTTAGATAGAGAGATGTGCCTTCTCTCTCTTCTTATCTTGACTGAAAAGTTAGCTTTGAACAAGGGTTCGTCAAAGCAAGGGAAAGCCATACGTGCCTGAGTTGGTTCAAAATCGGTCACTGCAATTACTCTGTAAAAAGACATCCCCCAGGTAGATTACACGAGTAAGGCCAAGAAGAGAAATTAACTCTTACCTTTAGCAAATTTTTCATCCAATCTGGGAGTGATATATTTAATTTCTGAAATGATAATATTAATGAATACATACTCTGAAGAAAATGAAATAATGTTTGGTGACTGTCAACTATAAACAATGCTTTGTGCTGGTTTCTCTATTTCCTAGTGATGCCCTTAATCTTCACGTCTCGCAAAGAAGGATACCAAGTCTCAGAGAATTTGAGTAACCTTATTAAGATCCTTAGAGAGTTTTGATGATGTACTAAGGTAAGTGTTGGACTGCTGACTGAAAGGCACCTGTTTGAACCCATTAACTGCAGATGAGGTAGTGTCCTCCTAGTGCCAGCAGTCAGGAAATAAAGAGATGCATTGCACTGGGAAAGTCTGCTTTTAGGGACTTAGATGCATCTGATTCAGGCCATAGTCTTTTGGATTACTTGCTGTCCATCTGAAATCGGGATAATGAATAAGGATGACAACAATATGTCTTTGACTTGTGGTGTTGGAGAAGAGCACTGCACATCCCATGGATGGCCAAAAGAACAAACAGCTATGTCTTGAAGACGGTGAAGTTGGAGTGTTCTTTGGAGGCAAAAATGATGAGACTTCACCTGACATCCTTGGAGCATGTTGCTAGGAGGAGCTATTCCTTGGAGAAGGATATGATGCCTGGAAGGATTGAGGGTGAGCAAAGGATAGGAAGATGCTTGACCAGGTGCATTCACATGGTGACTGCTGCAATGGGTTCTAATGTGTCAGGAAGTATGAAGATGGCACAGGAGAGGATAGGATCAGATCTTTTGTTCATAGAGTTGGTGTCATACTCTACTCAATGGCACCTAACAATAACCTCCTGTTAAGATTTACCTCAGAAATCCAATGGAAGGTCACTGGGAGTTGGAATCACCTTGGTGGTAGTTGGAGCAATATCTTTAGCTAGCAAATGGCCAAGATAGGACATGAGCCTCATGTATTTGATATCAAAATTGGCCAGAAAACTGATAGGCCATAGTATGTTCAAATCCAGGGGAATCTAATCAAACAGCTAAATAATTGTGTATATGAGTGATGACCTAGGTCATGTTTCTCAGAAATACATTCTGACTTATTAAGAAAATGCTTCCAGAAAGGTTGGATTTTCATTCATTCATGCACCTTTCCTTCTTCCCCTCTCTTTTCTCCCTCCTCCTTCCCCCAGTTAACTTTGTAATGTATTTCTTGTTCCAGATTGTCTCACATATAATGCCTAATCAAACACTCCTTTCAGAAAGTCCTTTGCTTTATCTGTTCCAAGGCAGTATTCATTATCTATGCACTCTCTTCTTATTCTTCCATCTATGTCAATCCTACTTTTATAACAGCTTTCTTATGTAGTATTTGTCCTTTTGTGACTGAGATATTTCACTCAGCATAATATCTCCATGTTGTGCAATGTTTTACATTTTTCAAGGTTGTGTAAATCACACACAAAAACACATAAAAGAAAGTGCTTCTAGGAGAAACAGGCAAGAGAAGAGGAAATCAAAACAGAGAAGAGAAACCAGCAGTCAAGGATTCCACACGCAACAAAGTCTAAGTCTGATCCCCAGGAAGCTCTGAAGCATAATAAATTATAACTTTAAGTCACCCCTGCTAGAGACAAAGAGCTGGCTCTTCCCACTCCTGTGCCGTGATGGAGTAAGGATCTTCATGTTGTTGTTGACAGATGGTGTTGACTTGGTTACTATTCAAACACTAGGACTTAAACATGCTTACATCATTGTCAGAAAAAGGCTTCAGGCTTCAGATAGTGACAAATCTAGACACTTTGGTAAATACCCATCCACCATCACTTCGCTTTTCCTTTCTCATTGCTACTGACTTGCAATGGACCCGTAGCTGGTCCTCCATTAGGTTTCTGAGGTTGTAAATTGCATTCAAGGAGATTGCCCATCTTTCTTCTTCCTCAGAGCCAAAGGTGAATTTGAACTTCCAGAGTGATACAGATTTTGGGTTAGCAGAACAAATCTCAACAAACTTGACCACCAGTGCTCCCTGCATCTCCTCAGTAATTCCTAAAGTTGTATGATTACATGTTTGTTCTTTGGACATAAAGCTTTGCCTTCCAGGTAACAAGGCAGATTTTTGTTGGAGAAGATGGGGAGAAGCGTGTCAGCTACAGGGTGAAAAGGACCCGGAGGAAAACTTGAGGGACTATCTGGATAGTTTTGTCTCAATTGACTTTATGATACACACTGGGGAAATGAGGCCTAGTTCTGAAGTATTTACTTGTGGCTTCAGAGTTTTATTTTAAATTTTTAGCAGTTACTGAACTGAAACCACAAAAGATTCAAAGTGTCTGGCATAATTCTCATTAATGTTGTAGCAAGTCTACATTGGAAAAGCATAAAATTTTAAGCTTTCTTTGTTAGTTGCACAATTAATTTTAGCTCAACATGCAAAGTAGTTACTTCCTGCTCCTTAAAAAGAACGTCTGTTGACCAAGTTACTTTTGTGTTTTGGGTTATAGTGTTCCTGTATGTGTCTACCGAAAAAGAGATCCATGTGATTCACTCACCGTTGTTATGGTGGTTCTGACTCATTAGCTCATCCTCCACTAGGTTTTTGAGGCTGTAAATCAAAGGAGCCTATTAAAGCTGTCCAGTATGTTACTTTATACTACTTGCTTAATTAGACCTATTAGTAAGTTTGAAAAGGGCTGAGTAATCACAGTAAGAGTCAGGAAAACAAGCTTGCAATAAATTATGGGAGACATGCTAAAAAGTACTCCAAGCCTCCACAACATATTATCTACCTTCCCAGTTCCTGACAGTTCTCAAAATCATATCATTGACATGAATATCCTTTGTGGAGACCTTGTCACTTAGAAAAATAAGAAAATACATTACTGGCCACATAATGGCTTAATGAGAATGTCTGTCAAATTTCTTACCCTAAGGTCATTGAGAAATGGGACTTCAATGAGAGGAAACATCAACAAAGGTGAAGGGGTGAGAAATGGACTAGGAATGGCTGTCTTAAGTGAACTCCCAGGAGCTGCAAGGTGGACAATTGCAGGAAGAGATATGTGGCATACACATAAGCAGACTCCCAAGTCATATTCACTCCTTCCTTTCCAAAAAATTCTGACTTTGTTCAGGGAAGCAAAAGTTCAAAGATTAACTTCCTCAGACTCCCTTGCAACATGGTGGGTTTTATGACTTATCCTGGCCAATGATATATGAGTTGTTAATAGGTGGGAAAACTTTGTAAAAGGAGTCTGACCTAACATTTACTTCCTTCCTCTCTCTCTTTCCCTCCTTTTTTCCCCCTTCCTTTCTCTCCTTCTGTTTTTTTTTTCTTTATCTTGTCTGGAATGCCAATTAGATGATTCAAAACTCATCCTGAGAAAATAGGAGTAAAACCATATGCCAAGGAAGTTTGCACAGATAGGAGTCAGCAGGGGGAGGGAGAGGTTAATCATGAAGTTGTACAATTTGATGAGAGAGTGAGGGAAATTAGAAGAATCTGTTTTGGAAAACAACATATTTGAATTTTGTAAATAAACTAGTATAATTAAAAATAAAAGATATATGCATATACATTTCTTGTTGTTGAGAATATACAAAGCAAAACAAATACCAATTCAGTAATTTCTGCACACATACATTCTGATTACATGTAAACTGATTATATTCTTCAAGTATGTAATCATTCTTACTTTTTAAAATTGTTCTTTCTCCATTAGCATATCTTAACTGCTCCTTAAGATTCTTATGGAAGTTCTGGTGGCATAGCCTATTGTGAGTTGTGCTACTAACTCAAAGGTTGTCAATCTCTGGTGGTTTGAATTTTGTGGAGAAATATGGGAATTGGGATTTACAGCCTCAAAAGGGGAACATAGAAACTCCATTTGACCCACCTATTCCACTACTAGGAATATACCCCAAGGAAATTAGAACTGAGACACAAAAGGAGATTTGTACACCGAGGTTCATAGCAGCACGATTCACCATCACATGAGCATGGAAACAGCCCAAATGTCCAACCATAGTGAAATGAATTGAGAAATTGTGGTACATTCACACAATGGAATACCATGTAACGCTCAGGAGCAATAATTTTGAGAAATACTATGTAACTTGGGAGAGGTTAAAAAACATTATGCTGAATGAGCTAGCTCAGTCTCATAAGGACAAATATTGCATAAGACCATTATTGTAAAAATAGAAGGAACTGGTAAAATACATATAGAGATGCAAGGGGGAAATGGGTGAGGACAGAGGGGTAAGGATAAGTAGGGGTGAAAAAACAGGGTTGCACAGTTTTGTGGGTAGGGGTAGTGAAGGAAATGGGAAGGATTGGGCAGGTACCTGAAAAGACAGGGTTGTTGTTGTTGTTGTTGTTAGGTGCCATCGAGTTGCTTGTGACTCATAGCGACCCTATGTACAACAGCCCTAAACTCTGCTCTGTCCTGTGCCAACTGCACTGTCTCTGACACTCTCATCCCGATTATCCCA